AAGTGGTAGAGCGCTAGCCTTGAGCTGAAGAGCTGAGGGACAGCGCCCAGGCCCAGAGTTCAGGCCCCACGACCGGACCCCCCCAAAAAAAAACACCAAAAAAGATGTTACTGTCTTGTGAAATTACTATTGTCATTTCCTAATGACTCACAGTTATGTCCTGTGGGAGGATAAAGTATAGGGTCAAATTATTTTGGAGGCCAAGTAGAGACATCTATACGTACAACTTTCTGATGGTCTCAGTCAATCCAGAAAAATCAATGTATTAGCAAAATGATCCCTTCTTGCAGATTTAGAATTTCTCCCTATTTTAATAAAAACTGAGAAAGAAACAATTTGAGACCAAATCAAATAGCATAGAAACAGCTGCTCTGAGGCTATGTGTCAGTGCTGGCCTAGCATGTGCAAGGCCCTAGTCAGTGGCCAGCGTAGACCAAAAGGCTTTAAACCCACCAGCTTAAAGGATCAGAAAAGAAAATTAACCATATGAAATAATTATTATTATATAATTATGTTATATATAATATTATATAATTATGAAATAATAATTATTTCATATGGTTAATTTTATAATTATATAATATAACATAATTATATAATAATAATTATTTCATATGGTTAATTTTCTTTTCTCCATGATACTGTTCATAGCATGTACTATTTCTCACTTGTTATGAATTTTTAAACTAATGTCAATAATCTCTGACTTCTCAGAGATAAAGCTTGAAAGAGCTGCAGACCACTTAAGTTTAGTGGTGTTTCTGCAGTGGTGGTCATGTTAGGGGTAGGGCAATAGGAGCGGGAGCCAAGCCCAGGCCTTGTGTGTGTTAGACTAGTGTTCTACCACAGATATACAGGGTACCCTTGCACATAGACCTTTGGCATCCTGGCTCTGGTAAAAAGACAACAGGAATCTGAATAACCAGGATACGTTTTTAATAATAAGACAAGTCCATGGCATTGCATTTAAAAAGATAGGATAGATTAAAGAAAGATGTGGGAATTTGAATTTTTTTAAATTATACTGTGATCTTCTCTTTCCTATACCTTTCAAAATATGAGGAACAGTTTTTTTTTTATTTTTCAATTTTTTTCTCCTAAATAAATAAGAGAGAAAAGGCATAAACTTCTTCATATGGCTAAAAATCTTAAAATCTTCTAAAAAGAAAATAATGAAAAAATAGCTAACATTTTATGTGTGTTTTATGTACCCCTTTAGAGTGGTTAAATATTCAGCCCAGGATAGCTTAGCTAAGTTATTACGTAAGCCTTGGTAATAGAACTTCAGGGCCCACTGTGCTCCTAAGCTGTATTTCATCTGTGGAAAACATCTTGTACTTTGCAACATACTTTTAAAGTATTTTTTAAAAAAGATGAACAAAATAACAGTTTACTAATAACATGATACTTCTTATTTAAAAAAAAGAAACAACAGTTTATACTCCCTTTAAAAATAACTGCATTAGCCAGGCACCGGCTCACACCTGTAATCCTAGCTGCTCTGGAGGCTGAGATCTGAGGATCTCGGTTCAAAGCCAGTCCAGGCAGGAAAGTCTGTGAAACTCTTATCTCCAATAAACTACCAGAAAACCGGAAGTGGCGTTGTAGCTCAAGTGGTAGAACGCTAGCCTTGAGCTGAAGAGCACAGGGATTGCACTCAGGCCCAGAGTTCAAGCTCCACGACGGACAGACCAAAAAAAAACCAACTGCATTTTATGTATAGGCACAGATTTGGAGGACATTTAAACTATTGTATTTTTAGGAATCTGGGGTATTGGTGTTGCAACTCAGAAAGTTAACCTGAATCAGATTCCTCTCGGCCGAGATGTGCACAGTTTGGTGATGAGAAACGATGGAGCTCTGTACCACAACAATGAAGAGAAAAACAGGCTGCCAGCAAACAGCCTTCCTCAGGAGGGAGATGTGGTGGTGAGTCTCCAGGCACTGTTGCTATCCACTGTATACATGGTTTTGCCTGGGAGTTTTTAGTTTGTAACCCAAAGCCCTAGAATTGAATCAGATAAGGTAGTGCAGTTCCCAGAGAGCACCACTGCCTTACCTCTGCCCTGTCTCTATAGAATTGGGGGCAGCGCAGGACATCAGGGAGAGCTTTTATTTGCATACAGGAGGGTTGTGACACGTTCACTGCCAAGTAATAGTTTCTACTTACATCGCATCAGAGAAATCTTGACACAGTTTTTTAAAGTTTCCTGACCTTATATTAGGAAATGTTAGATATTCTTTTAAATTTTTTGTATTGTTACAGAAAATTTTCACATTTATTTGAACACCTGTTAGAGAATTTTATCAGAAGTATTGGTCTTCACCACATTTAATCTAATTAAATTTCCTCTACTTTTCCAACTCTTCAAAGAACTTGATGCAAAACCTTAAGACTTGATTATAGAATAGTAAGCCTTCTCTTTTATATCTCTTTAACAATCACTGTTGAAAAATATCATCCAAAGCCCCTTTCCTGTCTTTCCAGACAACTACTCCCATATTCACCAAGAAATCTTGTCCACAAGAGTCCAGGCTATTAGCTAGTGATTGTAAACAGTAGTAGTGTCTCATTTAGCCAAGGCACCCTTGCATACAGAACCTTGGTTACCTGGCTCAGTGAACAAATCCAAGGTATTAAATAAAGATACAGCATTCTAGGAAGTTTAGGGAAATTATTAAAATTTAAGATTATAAATTATGATCTGATCTTTTCTCTATCACTTAAAAATATGAAGAACAGTTAGCTTTTGATTATTTGTTGTTTTTCTCCTGAATGGAAGAGATACAAGGTGTAAACCACTTTGAAAAAAATCTGCTTCTCTCTTTTTTTTTGGGGGGGGGGCATGAGGTTTGAACTCTGGGCTTAGATGCTATCCCTGTGCTCTTCAGCTCAAGGCAAGCACTCTACCACTGAGGCTGAGATCTGAGGATCATGGTTCATCGCCAACCTAGGCAAAAACATTCATGAGACTTTTTTTTTCTATCAGTTGTGGAGTCACGAGACTCTTATCTCCAAGTATTCGGAAATGGCTTTGTGGCCCAAAATGGTAGAGTGCTAGCTAGCCTTGAGCGAAAGGGCTCAGGGACAGCACCACTCAGGCCCTGAGTTCAAGCCCCATGACTGACCAACAAAAAAAGCAGAAAAAGAAAAATCAAATAGTACCCTATCATATTAACTTACCTTTGTACTTCAAACACTTGTGAACAAAGTGTCCGAAATTGTTGACAGCGTCATAGGAAAAGGAGATTGGATGACAAGACCAGAAAAACATTATTTGGTATAATTACAGCAGAGTCAAACCCTGTCTCTAAATCATATAAAGGGACAAAATAAATTACAAAAACATTTGAACTGCCGGAACTGAGGATTGTAGTTCAAAGCCAGCCAGGGCAGCAAAGCCCATGAGACTCTTATCTCCAATAAACCACCAGAAAACCAGAAGTGGCACTGTGGCTCAAGTGGTAGAGTGCTCGCCTTAAGCTAAAGAGCTGAGGGACAGTGTCGAAGCTCAGAGTTCAAGCCCTAGGATTGACCCAAAAAAAAAAAAAAAAAGTAACATTTGAACTAAATTCAACCTAGAATTGTAGGGGTTCTTAAATCATTCCACACTTCAAAACTCAATTCTCAGATATCAGCCTCTGAGTAGCTAGGATTAAAAGTATGAAAAAAAAAAAAGTATGAGCCACCGGTGCCTGGCTTCTATTAAATATTTTTAATTCTTGTTAAACAAAGACCCCAAAAATGAGCATTTTCAGTGT